GATCAAGTAGTCTGCCTGTCATGTATTTGAGTGCTCCAGTGTTAGATGCATGATATTTATAAATATTACATCTTATTAGTAAATTTGCCTTTTTAATACTATATAGAGTCTTTCTTTATCTCTTACAGTTTTTGTTTTCAGGTCTGTTTTGCCTGATGTCAATATTGTGACTCCAGCATTTTTTAAAAAATTTTCATTCATTTGGAATATCTTTTTCCAGCACTTCACTTTTAGTCTATATTTGTCTTTATTCATGAGGTACATTTCTTGTAGGAAGCATATAGAGTGCTCCTGTTTTTTCATCTAGTCTGTCTGTCTATGTCTTTTGATTGGAGCATTTAATCCATTAACATTCAATGTTATTATCATTATTTGCAGACTTGTTCCTGCCATTTTGTTAGTCATTTTCTTGGTTGTTTTTCTTCTCTTATTTCTGTTTGAGTTTCTCTTATTTTCTTTTTGAGTTTTCCTGATACAGTATTCCTCTCAGTACTTCTTAATGAGCTGGTTTATTGTTGGTGAATTCTTTCAGTTTTTGTTTATCTGAGAATGATTTTAGGAAAGTATTGCTGGGTATAGTATTCTTTTAGTGTTTTGAATATACCTTCCCATTCTTTCCTTGATTGCATTGCTTCACTTGAGAGGTGATGTTATTCTAATGAGATAACCTTTGTAAGTATTTTGACATTTCTCTCTCCCCATTTTTAGAATCTTGTCTTTATCTGTGATTTTGACCAATATGACTATGATGTGCTATGCATAGGATCTTCTTAGGCTGATTCTGTTTGGCAATTTTGGTATTTCTTAAGTCTGGATATTTGAATGTTTCTCTAGGTTGAGAAAGTTTTCTGTAAGTATTTCATAGAATAGATTTTTGATGCCCTTATTAGCTTCTTCACCTTCTAGAATATCAAGTATTTGGATGTTTGGGTGTTTAATGGTATCTAGTATTTCCCATATGTTATTCTGATTTGGGGGGGGTGTTTTTCTTTTAATTTGTTTTGGTGATTTTGTCTAGGTCAGAAGTCTTGTCTTTTAAATCAGAAATCCTATCTTCTGCATGATCTCATCTGCTATTGAATCTGTCAAAGGAGGTTGTGGTTTCTTGTATTACAGTATTCAACTCTAGAAGTTCCATTTGATTCTTTTTATGTTGTCTATCTCCTCCTTCAAGTTATGAAAGGCCTTGCTCATCTGGAGTTTGTTGTCTCTTTTCTCTTGCATCTCATTTAGTTTCATCGCTACAAATATTTTGAATTCTTTTTCTGACATATGTGAGTTCTATTGTGCTGTGGGTAGGTGATGAAGGAGTTATTGTGTTACTTCGAGGGAGAAGTATTTCCTTGTTTTTTTTTTCCTATTTCTTGTGTATCTGCACTGGTTTTTGGTCATCTGATGAAGTACACACTTCCTACTTATTTGAATGGGTTCTTTAGTGTCAGTGGAAAAGAACAACTCTTTCTCCCAGGTGTGTTCTTTGATAGGGGGATTTGTCTTTCACTCAGAGTAGGTGTATCTAGCCAGGTGCTAGGATCCTCTAACAAGCTCTCAGGATGAGATACACCTATAACTGGAGTGGGAATATGTAACTACAGAAAGAAGAAGAGCAAGTATGGAGTGTGGGCTTGTGAACCTGGCTCCCTGGGACTCAGTTGTTCAGGCTGGTGAAATTTAGAATGGCACTGGAGGGGCAGGAGGCATGATAAGACACAAAGGCCCAGAGGTGCTTAGCAGAACGCTGATGGGGAGCTTCACAGCCACTCACCTTTAGTGGCTGCCTCCTTAGGGCCCCGCTGCACAGACTGATGAGAATAGCAATGTTGTTTACTTATTTAAATTAGCTATAAGTCAAGTGCCTTGTCAAAGAGAAATAGAGAGAGTGAGAAAGTACTCCTTCCATGGAAGTACGGTCATTCTGCAATCCCTTCCCTACCATTCTCCTTTTAGGATTTAGGTTATGCACACACACACACATCCAGTGTGTTTTTTAAGCCACCAGGTCCAGGACTCAAACCACACAGATATGTGGGATCCTGCAGCCTTAACTACTATGCTACTGGCTGGCCTTATTTCTTACTGATTTGTAAGAATTCCTTATAAACTCTAGCTGAATACTATATTTTTTTGTGTTACAGATATAATTAACCTGCCTGTTGTTTGTCCTGTTTAAGAGATTTTACACAAAACCTTTAAAATTGGTTTTTATGTTTAAAAATTCAAGGCTTTTTTTTCTGTATATCTTTTTTGTCTATAAAATGGATTTTCCTACTTCAATGATCATAAATACAACCTTTTATCTGCCTTCTAATTCTTTTATAGGTCTTTTATGGATCAAATATTAATTTTTTAAACTTGTTTAATAAAGAGATTTTTGCTATAGAGCATGTGTGCTTGCTAGAGAGACAGAGAGAAAGTGAGAAATCATTCCCCAGGGGCGATGGCCATGCTGCAAGCCTTTCTCCTCCGTTTTCCCCTTGGGATTTGGGGCACACACACACACAATATGAGGCCAGTGTGAATTCCAAGCTGCCAGGTTTGGGACTCGAACCATGATCAGCCATGTGGGAGTCCAGCACCTTAACTATTATACTACCTGCACTTATTTACATAAAAAATGCAAGACAGGGTTCATTTCTATATTGTTTCTATAACTAAATAGCGAGCTCAGTAATTTAACAATCTGTTCTTTTGTTTGCTAGTTGATGTCACTTTTATCATATACTAAAAGTCTGTGAATACATGAGTATGTTTTTTAGACTTTATATTCTTATGGATTTCTGTAGTTTTATAATATATCTTGCTGTCTTATAAGGAAAATCTTGTCCATTGCTCTTTTAAAAATTGCTTTAGCTCTTTTTGCACATTTAGTCTTCTATATGACTTTTCAAAGCAATTTGAAAAGTTTCAGAAATAATGTAAGTAGAATTTTTATGGGAATTGTGGAGGAAGTTATAGACTAGAACAGATATCTTTATAATAGTGCCTTCATCCATAAAGGTGTTCTGTATCTTTCTACTTGTTTATATCTTATTTAGACTCTTTAGTAAAGTTTTCTAAAAAGCCAAAATGATTCTTACTAGTTTTATACTTAGGTACTTTGTAAAATATAAGTTCTCCTTTTCCCTCAAATACAGTGTCTTGTTGACTATGGCTGATATATAGGAATGGTGTTGTATATTGATTTTGTTTTTGCTGAAATATAAATACAGAAAGGTACACGAATAATAAGAGTATAGCTTAATTAATTGTCACGAAATGAACATATTTGCATAACTTCTATCCAGATCTAGAAATACCATTTGCAGCATCCCAGGAAACTTGCTCTTCCTGTATCCCAGAAGTAACTACTATCCTGACTTCAAACACAATAAAATAATTTCACCTGGTTTTGAAATGTATATAAATTAAACATGTAGTGTATATTCTTTGTGTTTGGCTTCTTTTGCAACAACCATGTTGTTGCTATGTAGTAGTTAACTGTTTGAAAATCACAGTGGTCATCACTGGGATCGTTTCTAATTTAGTGCTATCATGAACAAGGTAGTTATTTTTCTTGAGAATATCTTTTTGCACATATTTACACAAGTCCACCAGATGTACATCTAGGAGCAGAATTGCTTATCATTATATAAACAGCTTTAGTAGATTTGCCACACAATTTTGAAAACAGAATTAGTCTATAGGTGCATGGTTAGTAGCTCTTCCCCCCCCCCCTTTTAAAAATTTACTATAGGGTACTTGTGTTCACCAGAGAGGCAGAGAGGAAAAATGAGAAAATATTCCTGGGGAGAGGTATGGTCACACTGCAATCCTCCATACCTACATTTTCCTCTCTGGATTTTGGGCATGCGTGTACTTATATCTGCCATGTTTCTCAAACCACAGGGTCCTGAACTTGAACCACACAGTCAGCAATAGGAGATGTAGCTGCTTTAACCACCATGCCACTGGCTACCCTGAATGGTTGATGTCTTAGTGAACCTTCAGAACCGTATCAAAAATACATCTCTGCAAATTGTTTATTGCACTATGGTTTCCAAAAATGAAGTCCTAGAATCTCAAGTAAAAGAGACAATCTTCTTGGCTAGTTAATTCAGTTCACTTAGCTCTTCTTTATATTGGAAGGTTTAGTCAGGATACTTTTGGTGATAAATAACTGCAACAGAACTCAAACATACAAAATAAAAAGAAAATAATGAAAATAGATGGGAGGGAATGTATTAGTTAAAATGATAAACAAATGTTACCATCAGAATTAACTTTTTTCTTTTCTTCCTTTTTGTTTCTTTTTCTTTTTTTTTTTTTTTAGAGAGAGCTTTTTGCTATAGGGCACAAGTGCTTACCAGAGAGACAGAGACAGGGAGACAGAAAGCAAGAAATCACCCCCCCCCCTCCAGGGGGATGGCCATACCACAATCCCATCTCCTCCATTCTTCTCTTGGGATTTTGGGCACACACACAAGTACCCCACATGAGTTTTAAGCTGCTTGGTTCAGGATGCAAACTGTGATCGACTACATGGGAGTCCAGCAACATAACCATTACACCATCTGCTTGTTTCCTTATTTCCATTTTTAATCCTCAACTTTGATTTTTCACAGAGGGAAAGCTTCAGATTCTAGCAGACTTTTTTCACATGACAGCAAAAGATGATCTTACAAGAACTTTGGGCTCACATGGTCTTTAATGGCAGAAAGAGATACTTTATCTCACATTTTCCCATTTCTATGTCTTCTACAAGACATTGATAGACTCTGCTCTATCTTGAGAAATGATATTTTCTAATTGGCTAGACCTGGATGTATATGTCGAACCCATCTGAATCTCCTGGTTTAAATGAGATTATTATAGAACATGAGTAAGTGTTTTCCAATGGAATGTTAAGTGGCTAAAAAAACCCCTAACATTCATGCCCATTATTGTTAGACTGTATGTAACTAAGAATATTATTATAATTCATTTATAGCATCATACATGTTTAATTTGTTTATATTTTTCAGATTATTGCAAATCATCACATGCAGTCAATTTCATTTGCCTCTGGAGGGGATCCTGTAAGTATAGATTTCTAAAAGTGCTTTTGATAAGAGAATTTTCATGTAAAGCTTATTAGGCATTGCATGCCTTTTCCAAATATCTTGTTACAATTTATCAATAGCTATATGTAGAATTTGGTCTGGGCACAATGTTTCCTGTAACTAAATTTAAAAGTATTTGATTAGTAGATGGGGTAATAATGCTATATTGTTCTTAGCTATGGAGTTATTATTCAGTAAGGTTCTTATTGGTGATATCTAAGTCATGAAAAGAAAGTTCGTCATATCTGTGAAGCCAGTCCTCAGAATTCTTGACACAGAGTTCTAGGTGAACTCTCCTATTCAGTGAGACTGGGTATCTGAGGGGAAGCCCATTTGTCATCCTAGCTGTCAACCAAGGCTACTAAGTCCAACCTAGATGAACAACCCTCTCTGTAGAGCTCATGGAGGGAACACTAAGCCAGGGGGAGAAAATGTACACTTCCTCTCTGTGAAGAGACTATGTGGTGCTTATTTCCCACAAATTGTACTGGACTCTCTCTCTCTCTAAACCAGCTCTGCAGAATGAATTGTCATTCCTTAATTCCCCACTGCATCATTTCTGGACCAGAGCAAAAGGAGAGGAACATTGAAACGATGGAGCTTATGATTCAACAAGAAATAAATCTGTTTAAATGGAGAGAATAGGACAATTGTGTCCCTTTGTGACATTATGGATTTTTTTTTTCCTTTTTTGCTCCTGTAAACATATGGGAGGCTAGAAAGGGCAGAGTATGACTTTCACAATGGTTAAACATCAGTAATGTCAAGGAAGCATGTGGAGAACACATGCAGACCTGTTCTTACTCAGAATGTATTACCTTCTTTTCTGCCAAGCATCTATTATTAAAGATTACATCCTTCAGAAATGAGGCAATAATATCTAGTTTAACAGTTTAACATTTTCTATAGACTACATTTAGTTTCATACTTCTGGTTGGGGAATAAAATTTAGGGTCCTGAATGTTAGGCCATATAACCCAGAAACACAAGAGAGGCATGCATGTGGTAAGAACTAAATCTGGCAGCTGATATCATTGTATGGTTTTGATTTGTTTCAAACTCTATGCTAAATGTTAAATGGAAACAAACAAACAAAAAAGCCAATTGTATATTTTAAAAGGAAATAAAGTTCCGAAGTTACTCTTGTAATCATTGCTCACTTACTAGCACTGAAGTAATCAAGTTCCTTCACTTGGGTAATGGTATAACATTCTTTTGTGTAAAATATGTAACTAAAGGCTATTAAATTAGCCCCTTGGGGGCTGTCCAGTGGCCTAGAGGTTGAGGGAGCTGTATTTCACAAGGCTGATCACATGGTTCAAATCTTGAATCCCACGGCTTGAAAATCATCCAAGGAGCAGGTGGGTGCATGCTGAAAGTCCTTACAGGATGGAGAAATGGAGAAGGGATTGTGTTATTACTGTGCTCCATTGAGGGGTACTTCCTCCCTCTTCCTCTCTCTATGTCTCTTTCTCTGGTAAGTACATGCACCCTCTGGCAAATTAGAGAAAAAATTGGTAACCAGCAGTTAGCGTAATGGCTATATCGCTGGACTCCCACATAGTCGACCGCAGTTTGCGTCCCGGACCCAGTGGCTTAGAACTCACGCCGGACGCGTGTGCATGCGTGCCCAAGATCCCAAGAGGAGAATAGAGAAGGGACTGTAGTGTGGCCATCCCCTCTGGGGGGTGATTTCTCGCTTTCTGTCTCTCTGTTTCTCTCTGTCTGTCTGGCGAGCGCACGCGCCCTATAGTGAAAAAAAACCTCTCAAAAAAAATTAGAGAAAAAATTGATAAAGAATTTAGTCCACTTTTAAAAACACTTTACTTGGCCAAGCAGTGGTTTGGTGGTTAAGGTGACTGGATTCCAACCATGGATAACCGTGTGGTTTGAATCCTAGACTTGGCAGCCCGAGAAATACCCTAACTGCATGTGTACCCCAAGCAGAATGGAAGAGAAGGAATTGCGCATAGCCATCCCCTGTGTTTGTGTGTGTGTGGGGGGGGACTGCTTTCTCATTTTTACTCTATGGCCGGTAAATACATGTGCCTTGTAGCATGTATGTATGCTACATTAAATAAATAAATAAATTCAGCAAACTTGTGTTTATGTTGGCTAGCAGTGGTTCAAAGTATTTAAGCATGTCAAACCAAGACAAACGCCTTTAGAACTTTTTTAAAAATGTATTTATTTTACATTCATTCACTGAACATTGTCACAGAATACAAAATGCAATTTCCCATCCAGAATACACTATATAGTGGCTTAATCATAGAAGTTATTATCAACAAATAATTTTCCAATTCTTGTTTCATATATATATATATATATATATATATATATATATACACACGCACATATACATACACATATTCCCCCCCCCAATTTTTCACCCTCTGATATTAGAACTTCTTTAAATGAAAGAAAACCAGCCTTTACAGAATTTCAAATCATTGTGGCTTTGTGGATTTTTTTTCTGTTTTTAGTGAATATTCAATTTTCCCTTTAGGTTTCACTACTTCCTCCCCTTTTGGCCTTGGGTCATTCAGTTATTTTCCAATGGCTGTTCATTCCATAATGCCACTCTTTAAGAGCAAATCAAATTCTAAGTGCTTCATCTTTCCCCCGAAGATTCCATAGATTGTTAATTGTGGCTTCATTAGAAAACAGGGCATGCAAGGTGACTGGGACTTAGCCCCTGGTATGTGAGCCCAGGAGTGGGTCTGGACTCTGATCCATCCAGCCTTGTAATCTGGCCTCAACAGCAACAGCAATGGAAAAAAGAGAAACACCAGCATTCTCTCTTTTCCTAACCCATTGTATCTCATTAATTTATGAAGGAACTCAAATACTTAAGAGATTTAAAGTAATATTCTGTAAGTGTAATGTGAAAAATAATTATTGGTAAATAAATAAATTTTCCCTTATCAAGTTTTAATGGTTGCAGTCATTTTTTTCTTTTTTTAGAGAGATTTTTTTGCTATAGGGCATGTGTACTCACCAGAGACACAAAGACACAGAAGGTGGGACTCCCCCCCCCAAGAGGAGGAATAGCCACTCCACAATCCCTTCTCCATTCTCCTCTTAGGATCTTGGGCACACATGCACATGTGCCTGGCATGAGTTTAAGCCACCAGGTCTGGAACTAGAAGCACATTCAACTGTTTAGGAGTCCAGCGTAACCAGTACACCATCTGCTGGTCCCAATAGTTGCAGTCATTTTATGACTGGTGCCCAAACTCTCATTTACCCTAGTCATGCATGGCATAGTTCTATTATTGTTCTCCAGAATTTCAATTTCTTTCCATACTTTCTTCATGTGCCTTTTTCTTTCATGTTTCTTACTGACCAAGAACTGCACCTACCTAGAACAAATAGTAAAGAATTAGTAGCCACTGTGGGAAAGTTGTACCTGCTGCATTGAGTGGGACCCCTGTGTTCTCTGCAGCTGGAGGGAAAGATTATTGATTTAAAAGAGGAATCTAAAGCCTCCCTAAGCACTAGCATAGAAAACCCCTCAGTGAAGTTCTACCCTCATGTCAGGGAGGCAGTATAGTGTGGTGCCAGGCATTGGAGTCGGTAAGTAGACTTGACTTATCTAACCTCTCTAAACTTCAGGATCCTCTTTTGTAAAATGGAGGACAACCCCTACTGCCTCACAGTGTTGAGAATTGAGTGAAATAAGGCATGTAAGGTGCTAGCACGTGTCTGGCCCACCGTCACAAGAGGTGACTGTGACCACTGTTGCCGACACGGGTCCATGTTCATTTTCAGATACTAATTGAGATCATTTACATCACAGCTAACTGGGCCCAAGAGTTAGCAAACTGAGTTAAAAGTCCTTGTGTCCCAATGTAGTAATCTTTTTCTCCTACTAGATTTCTTCCAAAATTTAAAACATACCGAGTGTTTTCCTCACCTCCAGGTCTTAACACTTTTCCCAAGTTTGTCTTCCTGCTATGAGCCCTGAAGATAGCTCTTGGTAATACTTCTACAGCTGTATATATGCTTTCTCCACTTAAAAACTGTAATGCCAGTAGATGAATAGTTAAATACTTTTCTCTTGCTATTTGTGCTTTACTGTTAGCATTCTGTAAATTCTCCTAGATTTCACAGTTACAGCATTTGTTTGTTTGTTGGTTTTTAGTTTTTTTTTTGCCATAGGGTCCATGCACTCACTGGAGAGAAACAGAGACAGTGAGGGGGAAAGTGAGAAATCACCCCTCTAGAAGGAAGGCCACACCACAGTCCCCTGCCCTCTATCTTCCTCCTGGGATTCCGGGCACACATGCACATGCACCCTGTGTGATTTTTCAAGCTGTGAGGTCCAGTACTCGAACCACAGTTGGCCATGCGGGCGTCCAGCCCCTCTGCCATCACACCACCTGCTTGCCTACAGTTACTAAATTTTAGAACTCTAAGAATGTTAATGACTGTTTCTTTCTTACTTTCTTTTTTTCTTTTTTTGAAAGAGATTTTCCTATAGGGCACGTGTGCTTGCTGGAGAGACAGAAGGACAAATTGTGAGAAATCACCCCCCACGGGCGATGGCCATGCTACAATCCCTTCCTCTCCAGTCTCATCTCCAGATTTTGGGCATACACACACACACATGCACACGATGTGAGTTTCAAGCTGCTGGGTCCAGGACTCAAACCACGTTTAACTATGGGGGAGTCCAGTGATGTAACCATTATGCCATCCACTGGTCCCAGGTGACTGTTTCAAAGACGAGGAGACTGAGAACTGGCAGGGTCCAACCGCTTTCTCGTCATCTAATACACCAGTCAGTATTGTTGGTATCATACCACCTCTTCACCTTTAATGAGAGTTGTAAGGTCCCCAGCAACAGTGACTCTTCTTCTAAATTCATATAAAACGAACTTCATAGATATGATCTAATTATTTAGAGGTAATTTCTCACCATTTTTTTCTTTTTGTACAAGAGAAATTGGCTTAGGTGTGTGTTATTTTTTAAAATAACCCAAGACGAGTTATGCTGACCCCGAGATCTGCTTCCTGTATGATTCATTGTAGGTTATTAAGTGATTGTCCTTGAGGGTATTACAAACATGGGCTTTTATTTCCTGCCAGTTGATTGCATCTTTTCTCGAGAGAGTCATACTTCTAATCTGCAAATGGCATTGTGTGTATTTTTTTTTCCTGAGAACTGAGATAACAAAAAGCATCTTTAATTATTAAAATCTTATCATTCATCAGCTTACTGTTTTTCAATAAAAGCTGGAATTACCAAGCGGCATTTTATTTGCTTTTACAAAATCAGCAGTGCATCTCTTTTTAACTTCTTCCTTTTTCTCATGGGCTATCTTTTTTAAAAAAATAATTTTCCTTTCTATGTATTGATAAAATAAATGGCTTTTAAACATTTTCCTTTATTATTCCTTAAGCTAGCCTGCACCGCACACAAGCAAGCTAACAACCACAAAACCCAGGGCATCCTTTTAATCAACTTATTTTCTTGTGTACATGGTATCTAATTGGACCACAGGGAAATCATGATCCAACATTTTAGTTTATGACATCTTTGTAACAAGAGAGTCATAGTGCCTAGCTATTTTTAAGGAACATGACTTAACCTATTCCCTATCTGGCTTTTTTTTTTTTTATTCTTAATGACACTACCTCTAAATTTTTAATCTTTAAATTCTTTCCCCAAGGGACAGAGAATCTGGACTCCACAAATTATTAAGCTACATAGTATTTGCTTGTTTATGTTCCTTCTTATAATGCTTTCCTTTTCTCTTTAAATAGAAACATACATATTTAAGTCCTTACTTCAGTCTCATGTCATAAATGTGCTCTTACTTTCAACAGTACAATTCATTTTAAATGCAATCGTTTTCCTTTTTTTATAGGATACCACAGACTATGTTGCCTACGTAGCTAAAGATCCCGTTAATCAACGAGGTATGGAAAGCAACTTCTAGATGTTCCTAAGGACTGGTATATACCTGCTTGGAAAACAAACAATAGTTTTGGATATACAGAGTGATGAGTATCACTAGACTGTTATTGGAGTCTAGAAATATTACGCAAGTTTGAACTGGAAAAAAATAGTGCAGCTTAGCAGAACCAAGTAAAGAAAATATATAGGTAGGATTTCAATCCTAGTCATTTGAGAGCTCCATAAACCAAAAGTGTTATCTCTTTGTGTACTCAGAAGAGAAGCTCCCTTAGTTATAGTAGAAGGAGCTGGCTGTCACATCGAGTTACACACAAGACTCAGCCAGTAAGCTTATCAGCCTGCCTTGGCTGTGGCAAGTTGTGTGTGTGTGTGTGTGTGTCCATGTACACACACGTGGGTGTGTTGAGCCTGCACACTTGCTGTTCAGAAGTCTGGAACGTCACTTTGAATATCTGACTTCTTCTCATCATTAGATCGCAACATAATTGTCTTTTCTTCAAAGAGACCATTTTTGATTGATGGCACTGTCTCTCTCTAGTAGTAGATCCCCAAAACTGTATTACAACACTTCATCCCTTTTCTTATGTATTCTTACCTCACATTTTTGTTGTTTGATTTATGCATGTGTCAGGCTTGTCAATGTGTTTAATGTGTTCTTTCTACTAGTTTAAAAGCTTCATGAGGGCAGGAACCTGTTGATTGTTTCCTAAGCACACGGTCTTAATGTCTAGTGTATAGGCAATGCTCAAAAGCTATTTTTCTAAGTGACCGAGTGAATGAAAGAGTGACTTGATTGAATTTCTCATCCTAGGATTTAGCAAGGTTTCCTGAGAAGCTTGTCTCCCAGCCACACGTTGGGTCAAGTGCCTGAGGTTCCTCAGGTGGTGAGACTCCTTTAGACAGTCATGGTCAGTGTTCCTTCTTATGCTTAATGCCTCAGAGTCCTCTTAGGGATGAATGTTAGGTCTACTGTCCTTCTTAACTAGAGCCTATTAGTGGGGCAACATGCTCTGCTGCCCCAAGGATGAAGTTTCCCTGAAACATTTATTAAAACGGAGAGGGATTAGGATTTAGGAATTCAGAGAGCTGTAAGACACAGAGGTGTTTTACAATACCAATTCCAAGTACTTTGCACACAACAAGCACATTGGCATTGTGGAGGAGCAAGTGAATAGAACACACTGGGCTGGCGAATGTGTGTGGAGAAAGAAAAAAAAAGAGAGTTTTGTCTAGAGGGCAGATAGATGAGAGGTAGTAAGTAGGGACTTAATCCTGTGGACAGATAGGGAGAGAGTGCTGTTTACAAAGCAAGCTTTAGAAAGATTAATTTGGCAGCAGAGTGCAGTCAGTGGAATCAGTGAGAAATTTAAGGCAGGGAGATTGCTTCAGAAGATATTATGATTGTCAGAACTGAAATGATGAGGACCAGTCTCTGGCAGAGAGCCTGGCACGTAGTAGATACTCAGTAAATGCTTGCTTGAAGAACATGGCCTCAATAAGGTGGAAAGCAAGGTTCAGCTGGAAAACACTGTGAATGACTGCACTAAAACTCACTCTAAACTTTATAATAAAGAATAGATAATGGCCATGGAGTGGGTAGGCGAGACAGACACCAGTGAAGGGACCACAGAGGTGAAGGAATAGAGTACCACAAAGGGTATCAGGAAGAGCAAGTTCTTTCCATCCCTGTCCGCACTTCCCTGAAGAATAATGGCTTGCTATTTTGGAAGAGGCCTCTGAACAACAAAGCTTGAGGAAGACAAAAACCAAGGACACCAGCATATATCTCTTTGCCATCAGTCACTGATTATCTCTGGGCTTATCGTTGCTCTTGAGTAAGCAGTGGTGAGAAGTTCAAAGAGTAATGATGGTTGCTGAAGGTAATGGCCAAGAGGGATCTACATGCTTGCAGATGTCTCCTCTCACTGGAGTGAAACTAGAGCAGAGAAGATGATGATGCAGCACCTTCACTTAAAAAGCTCCCATCCTGGTGCCTGAGTAGTTCGTCAGAGTGGAGCTGCTTGGAGACCCATGGAGACCCTGGCATGGGGATTTTGAGAAGGCATTCATGAAAATTGTTGAGTGAGGTCACAGATGAGATTTGATGGATGGGAACTGTTGAAATTAGAGGTTTGGTGGTGGTTTTTATTTATTTATTTTATTCCTTTAGCCATTAGCCTGTATATAGAAAATAAGATTGATGCTGGAATCAGAAAGACTGGATTGGAACAGTTACTCTTCTGGGTCACTGTGTGCCATTAGGCAGATAGTTTCATAGTATCAGACGCAAGTTCTTTATCTTCTAAGTGTAGATAATAACATCTACCTCCTGCTGTTGTTGAGATGAATAACCAAGATAACACACAGAAAGCATAATTTTCTTTTCCCCTAACCGTATCTTTCTTTATTAGAAAAATAGGTGTATCCAAGTAGATAGTTAACTTAGAAACATGGGGTGATTTTCTTGGATTTAAAAATTTGTATCTCCCCATCACTTATTTCTCCTTTTCCTGTCCTCTTGTTTTCTTCTTTTATTTATCTGGGTTATAAAACTTTTTGGAGAAGCCACTGTGTTCTCACTATGCTCTCTGCCTGCACTCCCCTCTGCTGTTAAATCTTTTCCCTTCTTCAGAGCCTTTAGACTCAGTACCTGCAGAGAGATGATAACACAGCTTTTAAATCCACAAATAATTATTAATTACATGTGAATAGGCAAGGAATGTGCTAATCACTATGGAGGAACAGTCATTCCTAGCCACAATAGACTCATTATTTATTGGGAGGCACAGAGATAACCTGTGCAGAGAAGTGAGAGGTTCTGAGGGAATAATGCATGGAACGTAATAGATGCTTGGTTGGGACCTGCAGAATAAGTAAATAAAGGCACAGGTGAAACATCAGTGTAAAAAACAGCTTAGAACTGTGTTTAGATGGTGAGTGTGTGTGCGAAGGTAGGGTGCAAATAAGGGAAAAGGCAGAAATAGGGGAGAAATTGAAGATAATTGAGCTTTATGAACATTATTCTGGCTTCTGTCATTCTACCGGGATTGTAAAATGATGATTTTTCTGGAAGTTGTATCTGTAAAAGTCATATTGGAGGGAAGAAAAGCAGTCCGAACTGTAGAGACCAGGAAGACAGGCATCTCAGTCATGGACAGAGGTGGTCAAGTTCTGAACTGCACTGGAGGAGGAAGGGACAGAGTTGGCCAACTTTGTGAACTAATGGTACGTGATGACTGTTTAGACATGAGCGTTGCTAAAGAAATAGGTTTCAGATGTTGCTGAGAATTTAATGAAATATTGTATACAATGCAAATATTCCAATGTTGGGCTTCTTAAGTAGGCATTAAGTAGTATCTATTATTACTGTTCTGTGTGATTTGGAGTGATATTGCATTAAAAAAAGTAAGAATTCTAATGAATAGGAAAAAGACTCATTAGAAAGTAGGGCAATGAAAAATAGCAACCATTTATTGCAAGTTCACCATAAGCCAGACATTCTCAGTACTTGGTGTGCATTATTCTATTTCATCCACTCAGCAACTCTATGAGATAGGTAATACTATTATTTCTTTATCAAAGGAAACATTGGAGTTGAGAGAAGTAAGGTGGTTTTCCTAAGGTCACTCAGCCAATAAGTGAATGACCCAATTCCAGGTACTTTGTACACCTTTGCAAAAGAACATTACAAGGCACCAAAAACATTTGAAAAGTAAAAAAAAGAAAAAAAAAGTTTAGCCTCGTTAGCAACACACAAATTATAATTAGATACCATATTTCATCTTCACATTTCAAGTATTGATAAAAGATCAGATGTGGGTTAAAATAGTAATTATTCTTGGTCATTGCTGATAAGAGCATAGATTCATACATTTTGGAAAGCAACTTGACAGTATGTCTTAAAAATGTAAATACTTTTAAATAATCAGTTTCACTTCTGAGGAAATAATTAGGATGTGCAAAGAAATTAAGCAATATAGATCTTTGATATAGATTAATATAAGGGAGCTCTAAATAGTTCGTGAAAAATAGATATTGTGAAAAAATTGTGCCACCCTGTGGCCTGGTAGTTAAAAGAGCCAGATTCTACATGGCCAACTGTATGATTCAAATCCTGGACGTGGTGGCTTGAAAAACACATTAGGCAGTGTATGCCCCAAATCCTGATGGGGTGGAGAAATGTAGAAGGGATTGTAGCAGAGTCATGCCCCATTGGGGGTGCTATTTGTCCCCTCTCTCTTAGATAATCATATTTCATCTTTTTGTTTCTCTCTCCAGCAAGTATATATACACTCTGGCAAATATGTTTCATAAGGAAAAAAAAAACAAAAAACTGTGTGTGGACTAAAAGTGTTTTTTTTTTTTAATCAAAATAAGCTCATGTTCCAATTTCATTTTCCAAAAACTTGTCAAGAGTACCCTTATACAATAGGACAAATACATTCAATATTCATAAGTACCAAATTATTGAAGTAAACCTACAGCATGTACCTCTATGCAGTAATTCAAATAAATATTGTAGATGAGTGAGTGGTGACATGGGGAAAATATTCACAATGCTATTAACTACTAAAAGCAGCTATGGAGTAATGTGTATATTATGATCTCATGTCATTTTGGGGTGAGTGGTAGAAGTAGCACATACTATAATGGTAACACTGGCACTACACAGGAAAATGATTGAAAAGACACGTGCCAAATTGTTAGTAGTTATTCTTGGATAGTGAGATTGTGTGTAATTTCTTCTGGGTACCTTTATATTTTCTGAAGTTCCTACGATGAGTATTTATTGCATTTATAAAAAGGAAAACTGTTCTAACTCCTCGTATAAATTTTTGAAATGGTGAAACCAGAAAGAAGATGTTATAAAATTATCCAAGGAAAAATAGCAGACAGAATTTCAGGGAGTGGGTCTTAAAGAGAGAAGGCGAGGCCTGGTGTTCTGGTGCAAATTTGGAAAAAAATGCCACTTTTTCGCCCTAAAAGTGTGTGAGGGTACCAAAGGAGGAAGGCAGCAAGAAGAGGGTTAAGGATTTTAGTAGATGGAGACATCAAAAGAGACAGACAGCTAGCGGCCAGAGTAGTCAGGAGAAGGGGAGGAAATCAGAGATGAGTAAGAAAGAGGAAGAGCAAATTTCTCCTTGAATACATCACAGTGGTCACACACTGAAAAGGAGTTAGGGTCGCGAATCTGGGAAAATGTCATTCAGGTCCTACCATTGGTCACCCTGGAAGCACAACTTTGGTTAATCAGTAAAGGCAGGAAGTGGTCTGTAAGGAATAGGAAGAGAGTATGGTTGACAGGAAGCGGAAATAAGTGAAGAAGACCAGGCTTGGTGTTCCTAATCCTGAATGTTCCTATTGTTTCCCGTGAGCTTGACTCTCTTTTAGCATTAGAGCATTCAATTCAGGGCAGTTGCCACTTTTTCCCATCTTGGCTAATACCCTTTAGTGAACTCCTCATTTTATAAAAGACCTTTTCTGTAGAAAGGGAAAGTTCCAGTAAGGTTTTGAGTTTACTTAGTGACTAATATGACTTGCCCCTGCAATTTCTGTAAATGAGGAAGTCCTTATTCTCTTCACCACTTACTCCAAAGGCATGGCAATCCAGGAAAGTTTTAATATTTTCTCTGAATGGAGAGGCCCCAAGTTTTCCTGGATTACCTGGTATAGGAAGGCCTTGGTTTTGAGTCTCTGCAGTTACAAAAATTAAAAAAAAAAAAGAAAGAAAAGAAAAGAAATACTGTGAAACCAATTTAAACTATGCACTTATTTAGATTTATGTTTATGGTTATAAAGCCATGTACCACTGTTCTAGTGACATGTTAACTATGGGCTTCGCCTTCTTTGAGCCTATTTACTCCTCCCTGCTTTGATCCCACAGCACCACCTGGTGGCTGACTCCAGAAGCTGAATTTCTAAATTCCTAGTGTCCTAACACAAAAACAAACCAAAAAACCCCCAGTCTATTAAAAAGAACTATAAAACTGTGAAGAAGAGCCTGTTATCCTCCAAGAATAGTTATCATCTCTAGATATATCTAATTAGTAAACCAAATGAAAAAGAAGAATATGATCTAACTTTCTTTAAATCTTGTTTAACATAGTACCTAATACCCAGGGGAAGGACTATGGGCCTATTTGGCTAAAAGGTGGGATGAAAAAAAAATCCAAATTTGCATTTAATTCCAGACAGGGAGAGCAAAGTTTAAGCCTCTGTGGCAAACTTATTATCACTAAAAAGTCACATTCTTTTCTGAGCCTGTGGTCTTTGCAGTGTACTTGTCTCCCTTCCTTCCTATCAGCTGAACTTTGGACAATTTTTGGCAAAGCTTTAGAGATGGATCAAATACTGGGAAATGGGTATATTTGTATGTGATTCAAGGTTCACCCCTAACCCAGCCCACGGCCAACCTAAACAAGACCATTTCAGAGAGTAGCACATATGTGAATGGCGACACTAGCGCTATCAAAATATAACCACCCTGAAGGTGGTGAGAGCGGGGAGAACGCCTGCACAGGGTCAGCCTACTTGTCCAGTATGCTTCTTCCATGGAGAGAGATGGGCACCACGGTTTATTTTCCCTTGTTTAATCTTCTCAAAAAGTAACACGGCAATAACAGGGTTTTCTAAAGCAAGACAGCCTACGAATGGGACCCAAACTTCGGAGTAGAAGAATCAGAAAAGTTGCAATAAGTAAAACATTTTAGAAGTATGTTAGAAGTGGTAGAAAAAGTGGTAGAGGATGGAGATGTGTTTGGTTGATACTTTCTTTTCTCTATGCCCACTTTGCCTGTCCCTATTCTTCAGAGGACTTAAGCTACTGTGACAGAGAAAGGGTAGGATTTCGATAAGGCAGAAAGGGACTTCAGAGATCAATCACCCAGTGCACTGCCTTGACAGGGGAGGACCTTGTCATAGAGTGACCTGTTCAGGACCACGCAGATAGCTGGTAGGTTGGAACATGAACTCAGATTTGGATCTTTTCAGAGCTATTTTAAACATCTTCATTCTCTAAACCCTTTCACTAGATGTATGATTTAGTTTTATTTATTCATTTGTGTGTTTACTTACTTAACTATGCCTACTTAAATCTCCTGCCTTTCTCATGATCTTCCTCATCCTTATCTCATGACATCTTTTTAAATCTAAGAAAAATGGAAAAGTTGTCTCCATTTTGATATGATTTCAGATTTTGACTTCATCCCTGCCCCCCCCCCTTTTTTTTTTTTTTGAGAGATTTTCACTGTAGGGCGGGTGCGCTCGCCAGACAGACAGAGAGAGACATAGAGACAGAAAGCGAGAAATCACCCCCCAGGGGGGATGGTCACGCCGCAATCCCTTCTCCTCCATTCTCCTCTCGGGATCCTGGGCACGCACGCACACGCGCCCGGCGTGAGTTTTAAGCCACCGGGTCCGGGACACGAACCGCGGTCGACTACGTGGGAGTCCAGTGACATAGCCATTACGCTAACTGCTGGTTCTCCCCCCCCTCCCTTTTTTGAGAGATGTTTACTATGAGGTGTGTGCACTCGCCAGGGAGATAGAAACAGAAAGCAAGAAATCACCCCATGGGGGGTGGTCACACCACACTCTCTTCTCCATTCTCCTTCTGGGATCTTGGGCACGCACACACATGTACCCGGCATGAGTTTGAAGCCACTGAGTCCAGGATTCTAACTGTGGTCAGCCATGCAGAAGTCCAGCAACATAACTGCTATGCCATCTGCTGGCCTCCACTCCCTATTTTTTTTTTTTTTCCGCTATAGGATGCGTGCGCTTGCCAGATAGACAAAGAGAGACTGAGAGACAGAAAGCAAGAAATCACCCCCCAGGGTGGGTGGCCATGCCACAATCCCTTCTCCTCCATTCTCCTCTCGGGATCTTGGGCATGCACACACACGTGCCTGGCGTGAGTTTAAGCCACCAGGTCCGGGATGCAAACCACGGTCGACTACGTGGGAGTCCAGCGACATAGCCATTACGCTAACTGCTGGTTCCCGTCACTCCCTATTTTTGAAAGAGGTATGCGACATTATCTGTTTTTTAATCTTCTGTAATGTACCATGCAGAGATGAGACCTCAGACCTTATCTTCTCTTCAGATTTCTGTCCAGAGCATCTCTGGTATTAAATTGAAGGGCTAACACTAAACATAGTTAGTCGGGATCAGTCTACATGTATAAAAATGTGGGGCCAAATTACCTGCCTCAATAACAAAATTTCTAAGTGTTTTACTTAGGTGTAAAATCTGAATGTGTTTTTTTCTGATTCTTATGAAAAATGAGGTGTTTTTTTATACCATTTCAGAGCTGAAGAGAGCTTGTAAACCTGTTCCCCTTTTTTCAATTACAGTTCATGTTCTGGAAGTATTTTGTCTTTATATAATTCTCTCTTACTGGAAATTTATTGTAATAGTATGTTTTGGTGTGTCCTCATACAGCCTGCCACATACTGGAGTGCCGCAATGGAATGGCCCAAGACGTCATAAGTACCATCGGACAGGCTTTTGAACTCAGGTTTAAACAGTACTTGAAAAATCCTTCTTTGAGTACTTCTTGTGAAAGGTCAGCCAAGAGTTCTCTATTTGATTTCTTAATTTTGTTTTGTTTTCGGTTAATGACTACACAAGGGACATTTATAATTCTTTCTTACAAACTCATACAGCTTTAGTATAAAATAAGTGACCTTTTTTCTTTAATTCATATTTATTCTGATATTTCCTTTTGCTTTGTAATGAGTTAAAGGAGACATTAAAAGTAAGAAAAGATGGGTTGTTTCTCTATTACACAGCACTATGAACTAATTAAGTAGAATCATAAAATAATGAATAACAATTTCACAGATTTGTTTCAATCCCAATACTGATATGCATTATTCTTTGCATATCAGTTAAAAACAACAACAAAAAAACTAGAACAAAGAGCAAAATAATAAGAATCAAATGTCCATTGCAGGAATTTCTGTTAGCTTGCGGGTTTGCAATGTAAATAGATCAGTTTCAGTTAAACTGTGGCAGGAGATGGAACAGGATGTGACCCAAGGACTGGTTGTTCAGTCTAAGGTACAGAAAGTCTGCAATGAAAGATGAACCCTTTCAGGCCTGTCAGATTCCACCACGTGTGAAATACAGTGAGGCTACTGGCTCTCACAGTTCATGCCTGAGACACGAAAACACCTGGGCACTTTAAAATGCGTTCCCCCTCAACTAGTCATTTTGTGTATCAGCAAACCCTGAATTTGGAGATCCCTTTATGAAGTGGTCTAGAGTAGGGAAACACTGGGGTTACCAGAAAGCCTTGATGCTGAATGTTTCCCAGAGTAGCACCTACATCTTAGTGTTATCATTTTGTCATAAACCCAGCAAAACCATGTGGGTTGTCAATGGCATACATTCAATCCAAAAAGACTTGATGTATTATTATTTTTTTTAATGAAACTTTTACTAATACCGATTTGGAAGAAAAGTCTGGCTTTTTGCTTTTTGCTTGTTTGTTTGTTTGTTTCCCCCATTCCAATTTTAAAAATAATTTCTTGTTTATATAAATCTACCCATTCACCACATATGGTTCTAATATTTCTTTATGAATCCCATACACTCTTCCAGATTTGTGTGGACAAGATAGCTGGCCATGGCTTGCTATTTTTTTTTTTCATCTTGATTTAATAAACTGAACTAGGCCCTCTACCCAAAGAACAGTATTTAATTTTTTTTTTTTTAGTAAAACATTTCCAAAATGGAATAACCAAAGCATGCTGGAGATATCCAGGAAAACATTGTTTTTTTTTTTTTTAAGTTTATTTTTTTTCTCTCATCAGAGAGGGAAAGATAGACAAGCAGCCTCAACAGGATCTCACATTTCAACCCTTTCAGTCAACCCAGATCATAGGCATGTACATGTAGAGGACCCAGTATGTATAGGTCAACCTAGAATTCAAACTCTTATCTTCCGTATGGCTTCTACCACTGGAGATAATACACTACCACTGGGCCAAATATTGTATTTTTATGATCCTTTGACAAAATTCCTTATATCTAGGGAGTTTATATATTATTATAGTTTTATCACTGGAGGGAGACATGAAAAGATTACCTTTGGCACTTTTTCTTGGCTTACCCCACTTCAATTGTCTACAGAAAGCTAAACAACTCCACCATCTGGTTGCTCCCATCCAGATGTTTGACATCACTTAAGCACAGCTATAAACTTAAAACTTAAAACATAAATGCATGGTTTTTCAGGATGATTTGCTTGGTTCTTTGCATCCCCTACAGCATTTGAATTCCAGCCCAGCCTCTTGGGGATTCTTTTTTCCCTTACAGTGAGGAGGTACATATTGATGGCCCCGCCGAGGACAGAGAAGATCATGAGTATTACAATGAAATCCCAGGGAAGCAGCCACCTGCAGGTGGTATTTCAGATGTACGAATTAAAGTTCAAGCCTCAGAACAAATGGTGTACTGCCCCATACGGTGTGAAAAGTTGTGCTATTTGGTAAGTGATGTCTAATTGTTACTGAAACCAGAAATGCAATTCTGCTCTTATCACTAGAGCACTTAATTTGAAAATTTCCAAATGCTAGTTGAAAGACGTCTCATCTTCCTCAAATATGGGGCCAGAGAGTTAGTCACTGTTGGAGCCTGTACTAGATCCTTTTAACTCCTTACTCCCCAACCACAGCCTTAGAAGATTACCTCATATCTCACTTCACTGGGAGGAGAAGGGAGATCCAACATGTTATTCTCAACTTCACCCTTCTCCAGGTTCAAGTCTTCCTATGCCTTTGCTTCTTTTCCTTGGCAAATGTCTCCAAAGCTAATCTTTCCCTTTGCTCCTGATCCAGTCACCTCCTGCCTGTTCTGTGCCCATATTCTGCTTTTTAACATCTGTCTCAATCTTTATTCTCTGTGGGTTCTTCCCCTTCTGCCTACAAATAAACATGGACCCCCCTCAACCAACTAATGATGCCCTGCCTCCTTATCTTCCTTTCACCTACAAACTTCTAGAAAGCATGGTCTCTATCTTTGCTTCCATATCTGCACTTCGTGTCTAAAATCTGATATCTGTTTTATGGCTTGATAGAAATTACTTTTACAATGGTTACCAATTGTGTAATTGCTAAATCTGTTTCCCTCCTCAATATGTACCATCCATCTGTAGCAGAGTTCCCCAACTCTTATAGAACCAGGGACTGGTTTCATGGAAGATGATATTGCCAGGGACTGGGGCAAGGGCAGTTAGAATGGCTTTAAGATTATTTAAATGCATTACATTTATTGTGTACTTTGTTTCTACACAATAAATGTGATGCATTTAAACATTTACAACTTACTATAATGAAATATGTGCAGCCACTCCCCAGCACTAGCATCATTGCCTCAGCTCCACCTCAGATCATCAGGTAGTGGATTTTCATAGGAGAGTGCAACCCAGATCCCTTGCTTCTGTAGTTTACAATAGTCTGTGTTCCTATGGGAATCTAATACCACTGCTGATCTGATACCACTCCACCTCCTGGTGGAGCTCAGGTGGTAATGCAAGTGATGGGGAGTGACTGTAAATACAGGTGAAGCTTTGTTCTCTTCCCTGCCGTTCATCTCCTATTATGCAGTCTGGTCCCTAACAGGCCATGGACCAGTACCAGTTCATGGCCCCAAGGTTGGAAACTCCTGATCTATAGCATTTAACATCTATTGGCTATCTCTTCTTTTTGAATCTCTTCTGTTAGCTTCCAAAATATTTTCATCTTGTCATTCTGTTTCCACATCTATAGTTACTGGTTTTCTTTCTTTTTTTCACATTGTCCAGTATTTTACTATGAAGTAATTTATTATGAAAGAATTATATAGTGAACATCCACATACTCACCATTTAGATTCCGCAATGAACATTTCACTGTTCTTCTACACATGTTCCATGTTTATTAATGGCCCTACCTACTCTTTCATTAATTCATAGCCTTTTGCTTTTCTCACACTTTGGGGCTTATATCAACTCAGTCTTCAAGAATAAGGATTCCCCTATGAAAATATCATTTTAAACCCACCCAACCATTTCTATTCTTATTGTACCTTTTTAAAGTTCTTTTCCTAATTTGCCTAGATGATTCTGAAAACCCATTTCCTATCAGCGATCTTATTCTTCAAACCCTCCTGTAGAGTACTACCAGATTAATCTTTTAAAGCATAGATACTACCCTTCTCTAGGACACCAGTGGATCCCCATTCATTGCTGAGTAAAGCTCTATGAGGAATCTTTAAAAAAAGTTCATGAAAAAGTTGTACATCGACTTAAAAAATATTTTTGGGACCAAAATTAAACTCATAGTTTAATTCTTTTTTTTTTCATGAACATTTTTATGTCCCCTCATATATATAGGGATGATTGAAACCCTTTGATTGGGTGATGTTTTCAAGAATGAGGGGTGAGTCTGGCATAAACCTCTTTGTGAGTAGAATAGGGTTCCCATCTGCCACTTAAAAGTTAGTTAGAGTTTGGCTCCACAGTCAGTGTTTATATTAATGTCCTGAAAATCATGTTCTGGCCAAGACTTGGATGTGACCTCCCATGCAGAAACAGTAACCCTCAGGACATGGAACACTGGCAGCCCTTACTACCCCTGACCCCAGTCATACCCACCTCTGCAGCCCCAAAGCAATGGACAACAAAAAGAGTGTTTTATCCCCATCCAAAATCTGTATCCTTCAGACATTTCCTGTGTCAGAAAGGGAAGCTACCTGCTGTATTGTTCTGGGAATATTATTAGCATTTTTATTAAAAGCTTATGAACATGTACTACATTTTTACATAATTTGTCGTTTGTACAGCCTGGAAACCCCAAGTGTAGCAGTGTGTATGAGAACTGTTTGGAACGAGGCCTAGCAGTGGGTAGGTACAATGCCTTTCTAATCTGCCATCCTCCTCATTCCTTTTAAGTCACATGGATGTGTGTGGCCCTTATTTGTAAATGCTTATTTGGAAAAGTCACACATGTATAACTAAATACATAATCCTTGGGCTGCCCATTTCCCAGAGAGGCCCAGATTGCCACACGTGTGTTACTAGGAAAGCTTATGGTTCCTCCTGAGTCTCGAGTGAGCTGCCATGAGGATGGTTCTGCCTTATGGGGTCTTTCACTGCCTTGACATCATGAAAGTGCTCTCTTTCTCTCTCTCTGGAAAGGTGCTTTCTCTGCTCAGAACTCAAGGGAGTTGCACTTCAAAGAAGATTAGATAGTAAACTAATGTGAAAATTGATGCCTGTCTAGTCCATTAGGATGAAGATAAAAACCTTTATTCCTGCTTGGCAAGGGGAACAAAAAGATATCTGAAATATGAGAGTCTCAATTAGAGGCCCGTATACCCCATTCTTGCCAAGATATTAAAGGTTTTATTACTGCGTGTAATCATTGATGTTAAGCAAAACTTTTCTATGACACAAATATAGGCCATCAACTATCAGACTGGAAATATATTTCTATAAAAACAAGTTATACTGCCAGTTAGTCATTTAATTCATATGGGTTGTTGGAGATACTTATTTTGGGGAAAAGGAAAGTTTTGTAGCTTTAGAGGGGGGCATGAATGAACAGTATACATAATGCATGGAGGATAGAATTGAAGAATCACATTTAAGGACTCAAGTTAAATTAGTGGGAACTTGCCACCTAGAAGGTAATCACTTCCAAGGATACTTTTATATTTCTTAGGGAATTGAGTCAATGTGATCCATTTTATTATTTTCTGTATCTTGCAGGATATATGAGGATTAATTGTTTCTGATATAGTTATGATTACTATCCTCTTCTATCCTATAAGAAAAGAGAGGCAGTCTTTTTTTTTTTTTTTTTTTTTTTAAAAGAATCTGGCCAATTTTGTCACGACCGACCAGTGACCCTGTCTTAGCCTCTTCAAGTTCTTGGGTCTTCAGGAGCACCCCACCATGCCTAGCCTTTAGGTTGGATGGAAATTAAACCTAGGCCTCCCATGTGGTTCCAATCTGAAGGTCACAGCATCTTAGCAGCATGTGCCACCATGGCTGGACCAAGGCACAGTATTTAAATTCTTTAAAAACATGGTTATTTTTTATACAAATTAAAATTCCATGCTATTTTTTAAGTTATTTAGAATTTCAAACTAACTCTTAATAATTAAACAAGCTAAATTAACAGTAAGTATGAATGTCTTTTTAAAGTTATGCTTTCTAGGAGCTGTACTTCCTCTCTCTCTCCTTTCTTTCACTCTAGAAATGATTTAACCCAAGGATTGAACAGTCAAGGACATACTGCACATGCCTCATAGTGTTAGAGCTATTTTCTCCCTGTGGTAAAGCTCACATGGAAATACCTCCACTTCCTGTTTTACCTCATTGATATGCCTTTCATTTATTCAACAGTTTACTCAATGCTTATTGATGAACTCCCATGGGTCAGGTGTTGTGATAGGTGTGAGGGATGAAGACACTACTGACAGTTGTGTGATTTGCAGTTTAACTGGGAAGCTATACCTGGGAAGACACAACAAGTGCTCACAAAGCTCAAGATGTTATAGGAGCAGTTAGAGAAACTTGGCTTAATCTGTAGGTCTACCTAGAGTTTCTCTGAGAATATGACAACCAAACCAAGAGGGATGGATGGGAATCATCTGAGCACAGAGAAGAAGTTGGGGAAGGGAAGAAGAACAGAAGGAAAGAAAGGAAGAAGGGAGCAAAGGAGAGAGAGAGTATAAATGGGCCAGCCAGTGGACAGTGGTAACATAACATTCCATGGTGCTGGACCATGGAAAGTCCACATGGGAAGGTCCTGAGTTCATGTCTCTTGGTTTCCCTTGCAGGCTGAGTGTGCACACACCCATGATCTGGGCTGACTGGAGCTGAGGGTGGATCGTGGTGTGAAGTCCCTACTGGGATTGCTCCTGACTTTCTCACATAGAAAAAATAAATAAACTTTAAAAAAAAAGAAGAAAAAAAGCACCTGAACTAAGTGTGTCAGGACAAGTTCCCAGATCATTGGCACAGAGAGAATGCAGGAGGAAAGAGAAGATGGTACCCCTCAAACGTGACAGAGTCCCATGGAACTCTGAAGTTTTCAGTCTTCCCCAAATACCTCCTTTCCCAACTTGTCTTTCTCCTCTCTACTAAACAGTCATCAGGGGTAAATCCTCCTATCCTTGGCCACCCAGCTCCTGAAGGGAACTCACTGAATGAAATCTCTTGAGAGTTCTAGAATGATACTGAATGTGTTAAATCACAATACCACCATTGAAGAAAAGGGGAATGGTTTCCTTCTTTTCATTTTCAAACACTGTCATCTTAATTTTTTTTGTGGGGGGGGGACTTTTAAAGTATTTATCTCCCCAAAATATCAACTTAAAAAAGAATTAATTGATATTAATTGATATGAATTAATTGATATCATAATAGTGATATTATTGATATCATTTCAACTTCTTTTGTATTTTTCTTTTTGTAATTATAGCTTATTATGGAATCCAATTTATTGTTTCTGATTATGTTGTTTTTATTTCTTCTTTAAACCAACAAACAATGTAATCTCTTATTCTTACATGGTTTATGTGTGCTCTAAGCCACCATAAACAGACCCAAACACAGAAACAGACTTTATAGTCAATGTTTGTTTGGAGCCTGGAATATATTTTTTGATAGCATTAATTTTAGCCATGATGGTTAACTCTTAGGCAAGCACACATATTCTGTTATTCTAGTTTGCCTATACTGGAGCTTACATGTAGATTTTATAATGGCAAATGCAACAATAGAAAATTGTTGCACACTCTCTTTGTCAATGGTGGCTCTAAAGTAATGATTGGAACTGGGAACCTTTCGAATCATGGGAAGATGAGAGGTGATATTTGTAGTTGAAGGAAGTTCTTCAGCTAGATAACTTTTCCCCTGTGTGACTCACTAAGCTACAACCTTGTTTCAGGAGAAAAGCATGTTCTGAGTTCTAATGGGGAACCAGAGTTCTAGGAAACCATCACTCTATAACTCAGCCAATAAAATTATGGTGTGGTAGAAGGAATCAACCATATTCCAGAGGCTTCAACAAGTAAGATCCCTCTTATGGTAGCAAAAGGAAGTTCCCTGCTGTAATGTCTTTTTATGCCCAGACACCCATAAGTTAGGCTCTCCTGTCTTGAGATTTGCCTATGACCCCTTGGGCATGTGTTTAAAAAGTAATCTGAGGGAACCAGCAGTTAGCGTAATGGCTGTGTCGCTGGACTCCCACGTAGTCGACCGCAGTTCATGTCCCGGACCTGGTGGCTTAAAACTCACGCCGGGCACGTGTGCATGCGTGCCCAAGATCCCGAGAGGAGAATGGAGGAGAAGGGATTGCGGCGGGGCCACCCCCCCCCCGGGGGGTGATTTCCTGCTTTCTGTCTCTCTGTCTCTCTCTGT